ACTATTCATTAATTAACTATTATCAAAGAATTAACTCAGTGAAGATCAATTATCTATTTCATTACAAATTTGTTGGATTATTTTGCTATATCCCCTAAATATTTTCACTAGAATTTTTGACTTATGGAAATCTCTTCTTAGTTCTCTATTGTTGTTATAATTTCATCTTAATGTCTGCAATATACCTGCCATGAAATTAATTATTTTTGTTGTTCAATGCTCAATCTCATTTCATTTTCTTTTTTTAACATTTTATTTCATGAAAGAATAAATCCAAATTTCATAACAATAGGAGAATATCACCAATTAATACATTGCATATCATTGTTTTCAAAGTAGCTACTCAGAGTACAAGATATGGGGTATAAAAAAATTTCCAAATAGGGCTGGCCAAATAGCTCAGCAGATTAAAGCACCTGCAAGCAGGCACAGGGACCAGGGGTTCAATCTTTGGGCTTGCCGTGCTGGCCCCGCCCCGGAGGCTCACTGTGACTGCAATTGAGGTTGGACATGGTGGTGCGTGCCTGTAATCCCAGCTCTTGGGAGGCTGCAAAAACAGGAGAATCATTATGAGTCTGATCTAGTAATGTGACTATGAACACTCTGAAGTCCCTTCCCTAAAATACAGAAAAACAAAATTTCCTAATGATATTAGCACAAGCCTTTATTTTCAGTGAATTAGGAGAAATTAGTAATATAACCATTTTGTGTATCTTTCTTTTTTCCTTCTTTCCCCTTTTCCTCTTTCCCCTACCCTAGTTCTTTCCTTTTGTGCAATTTCTACCCATTTCAAACTATCTATTGAATGTTTTGGTCCTCATTTACCTTGTCAGTTTCTCACACCAGGGAGACAATACAATGTTTTGTTTTTTTTTTTCCAAAGTTTTATTGACAAACAGATAGCAATGAGACAGTTTCAAATCATATCAGAAGGACAGTTTCCAGAAATAATACAGTGCATATATTTTTCTTAGTGATTAATTGCTGTACAAGATGCGGACTTGTGATCCTATTTACAAACACCATTAGAACAAATCATTCTATTCATTAAGAGAATGCAACTATATA